CATGTGAAAGCCACTGGTTAAACCAATGAGTAGACACTGATGAAATAAGCATTTTTAGAATAACAATGTAGCAAGACAGTAAAAGAGAAGGACAGAGCAATGTATCTTTATATTGCTCTTTAAATTTTAGGTCATCTTATTGTAACAATGAGACATACAAGACACTATGTTGAAAAGGAACTTTACAACTTGAGGGAAGTGGAGAGGGAGGAGTTGGGAAGGTGGGAAGAGAAGAGATTATAGGGGAAAAACAAAGGAGGGGGTAACAATGCTCGATAGCAATTGTACTTAATAGCTTACTCATGTAACTGTAACCCCTCTGTACGTTATCGTTACAATAAAAATATTGTCCTGGGCCCTATCCCTCAGCTCTTCAGCTCAAGGCTAGCCACTTGAGCCACAGTGCCACTTCCAGCTTTTTCTGTTTATGTGGTGCTGAGGAATCAAACCCAGGGCCTCATGCATGCAAGGCAAGCGCTCTACCACTGAGCCACCTTTCCACCCCAAAAATATATTTTAAAAACATAAAAAATTAAAACCAAGACATTGAAAAAAATTTAGGTTATCTTTCCCCCTCTAATCTATAATGGATTTTAGGAGGTTCTATAGTCACATGGGTTTTCATTTCTATTTTGTTCTCTCATCTATTTTAAAAATCTTTATCAAGGATATAACAACATGAAATACAATCTTCATTTGCTGTCTTATTTTTGCAAAAGTGTTAATGAAGCTGCTGTTGTGATAATGTTATTGTTATGTATGCAAAACAATATTTGTAGTCATGTGGAGTTATAAACTGAAATATTGTTATATCGCTAACTAATACCTTGCCACAGTGCTGGGTCCAAGAGTTTACCTACTTCCATTTTTTCTTCTTTATTTCTAATGTCATGTGAGGTGGGGAGGTAGGGGCATCAAGGAGAGCTCCAACTGTTCACAGAGTTGAGCAGCCTACTTATACAGTCAGAAGGAGAGGGGATCAGGATGTCTCCACCAATCATGACACTCCCCTCATGTTTGTTCCAATAATGGTCTGATCCATTATGCTGAAGGATTGTATTCACACAAATGAAAGGTAGGCCTTAAGTACTCACAATCTTTCTGAATTGTTTGAAAGTGGTAGTTTGCTGTTGGTCTTCTGTTGAACCCAAGCACCTTTCAAAAGTGTGCTTACAACAAAGGATTATTAGTAACAGTACTTTAACAATACTTCAGATTGTTAACACTGCTTCTCTTCGAGAGTCTCAGGAAAAGGTGTGTCCTTATCATCTTTTTTAAAACAGGGATTTTCATCTTGAGGATGTTTTCTACTCTAAGTGCGCTACTAAATTACATCTCTAGCTTAAGCTGCATCATTTCTGAAATCAAATTCAAATATCCTCAACTTATGATTTATTATATTTCCTAAAGGAGCAACAATCATAATCTATGCCAATAAATCTCAAATTTGTTTCTGCAGCTTGAACCTCTTGCCTCAGTTTAATTTATACAATGGAAGATCATTTACATAAACATTTATGAGTGCTCTATGAATACATCAAAGTTGATTTTCTTTTTTTTTCTTCCTGATACATGGTTACTCTGCAAATCAGGTGCTCTCCTACATGAGCCATGTTGCAATCCCCTTTTGCTTATGTAATCATTTAAAATGTAATTATGTTATTATTAAGGTGTTGAATATAATTTAATGAGTACATTTCTTTTTGGACAATGTCACCACAATGTCACTTTCATTTTCCACAGGGTCTACCATGGCTGCATTTGTTCACCTTCCTCTTTTCATTTCTATACTTCCCTTCCCTCCCTCCAAAAGACAATATTTTAATTTTACTTTGTTGGTTGTGAGGCCTGAACTCTGGGCCTGGGTGCTTTCCCTTCAGCTCTTCAGCTCAAGGCTAGCGTTCTACCATTTGAGCCACAGCACCACTTGTGTTTTTTTCTGCTTATGTGGTCCTGAGAAATTGAACCCAGAGACTCATGCATACAAGACTGAGCCAGCTTCCCAGCCCCAAAAGACAATCTTTTATATATAATCTTTTAAACAAGGTATACTATCGGTTGGGCCTGCCTGAAGCAAATCCTGTTTACATCTCCTATGAGGGAGACAGATATGTGGGATCTGGGATGAGGGTTGCATGCCACCACATCTGTTGAGGTGGGTGCATCTTTCTAACTTTTTCTTCCAGTTCTTAACCTCCTGAATAGCTGGGGTTTTAGTTGTGAGCCACCATGTACCAACTTCATCAATGGCTTTAAATATATTTTTTTCTCCCCCAAAAGTAAAATTATCTTCTCCTCTAGCTCTATATGTTCCTCTTCCTTCCTTTTTTTTTTTTTTTGGTTGGTCGTGGGGCTTGAACTCTGAGCTTGGGTGCTGTCCTGGCACTCTTCAGTCCCGGCGCTCTTCAGCTCAAGGTGAGCGCTCTACGGCTTGAACCACAGCCTCACTTCTGGTTTTCTAGTGGTTTATTGGACATAAGAGTCTCATGGACTTTCCTGCCTGGGCTGGCTTTGAACCGTGATCCTCAGATCTCAGCCTCCTGAGTAGCTAGGATTATAGGCGTGAGCCACCGGTGCCCAGCTCCTCTTCCTTTTTTGTATGTAGTTTACCTTCAATGCCTGAAGCTTGAAAACCATTTGTTGATTTTTTTCCTCCTTCCTATCTCATCCTATGTCTAATTTATTACCATATCCAATATTAGTTTATCATTCCAGAACAATTATGGGATTTCCAACTGAGGCCAGTATCATCTCACACTTGTATTGCTGCAACCAGTTCTAATCAGTCTTAGTCTTTCACTCCTTTCTAATTTATTCTCAACTCTGAAACAAGTTAATCAATACCTTCATAATAACAATAAAATTATATTTAAAAATAAAAATAAGTAAAATCATGACTGTCACATTTCTGTTTAGAATGCTTTATTTATTTATTTTTTTCAGATAAACAGAACAAGGAGTCTTTATTAGCTGTATGGTGAAGATAGTCCACTATTGAGGTAGTGATGTTTGGTGTAGGTTTTGTTCTCAGCAGGGTTTTTAAAGAGAAAAACAACAAACAGGTGGTGTTTGTCGAAGCAAAGCAAGCTGATTTTGAGATGCAAAACATAGCCTTGAGCTGCAGAAGCAGAAGAAAAACATAGCTGTGAGCAGGGGTAGCATATTTTAAATCTCAAAGCATTAGAAACTCATTGTCATGGTTGGGGGTGCGCTGAAATTTTCTTTACAAAATTGTTTTTTTAAAATATAACCCTGTATACTTTTTTTATTGTGAAAATACTGTACAGAGGTGTTACAATTACATGGGCAAGATAATGAGTACATTTCTTATCAAGCATTGTAGCCTCCTCCTTTGTTTCCCCTTCCCATCCCTTCCCATCCCCTCCGCCCCCCCCAATTCTCCCCCCCCCCCACTAAGGTTGTAAAGTTTGTTTTTCGACATAACGACTTGTACATCTTATTGTTGCAATGGGTCCCCCTGTATCCCTATTTAAATGATTTGTTTTTGCCCTTCCCCTCCATAAATTATACCAACATCAAATACAGTGAAAGCAGGGCTTATACCATGGGGGAGGGACATGCAAAGCAACCAAGAAATCATCTTATAAATAAGTTAGAAACAATCGCATGAAAGAAAAAATGAAATGCTTTAATAAGTTTGCATTTCCACTAGTGTAAATGCCACAGCTCACAAGCTATTTGCTTGACTTTGCTATTTTAACTTTCTTTCATTTTTTCCTCTTGTTCTGTACCTCAGTGCTTGCAAGACATGTCTCTCCAGTTTGAGTTATACAATTATGTTTTTAGTTTTCCTGGAAAATTTTATCCTATGTCCAATTTTGTTTGGATTTATCCTATTCATTTTTATGTGTCAATATAGAACATGTTTTTTGTAGAAAAATCTTTCCTTACTTCCAATTACCGTCTAGGCTCTTATAGTTACATAAACTTTCCATCACATAGTAAGCACTATGCACTATTTTAAATATGTGATCATATTCTGTCTCCCTTTTTCATGGCAAGAAATGTGTCTATGTGATTACCATTCATCCTTAACACTCACCACCATGTCTAACACAATATATGACCAATAGATACTTTCTGAATAGTATATTTAGAATTGTATCTTTGGAGGTCCTGGTCTACAATATGATAAAGTTCAGCTTCACAATGAAACTAAGAACTAAATTGTTTCACTTTTTATGCTGTTTGGTTCTGGGTATATTGAGAAATAAATAAATGTTAGTGAGCATTTACTTTTTGCTGTTTCCAAGTAAATATCCTATGGCATATATCCCTTAAAAATAGTAGTATTTCCCTGACAGGAAGTACCCAATCTCCTTCAAACACTGATTTGCATATACAAGGTTCAGTTTGAAGTTCATGGCCTCATTCTTAGTGTTTCATCTCAGAGTACTTGCTAATAGTCAGAAAATACCATTATGTTCCCATTTCCTATTTTTCTGAGAATTTCTTGCCTATTTTTACATAAAAGGGTCCTAACTTTAACTATCTTTAGTTGTCCTATATATTATCTTCCCAGAAAAATTACAGTGTATTTTGAGGCAGGAATCCTATATAAAATATGATTTTTATATCCACCATAGCTCTAGCAGATTATGGTTTATTATGTCAATGAATGTAATGGCATTATATATCACAAAGATTACAACTCAGATTGGAGTAGGAAAGAAAATATTTTAATTGGTGGACAAACAAGATAAATACCTTGTCTCCAACTTATTGACTTTGTCTAACACTGGAAGAGTCGCATGGTGGCGCTGTAGGATAAGGCAGAGAATTTTTTTTAAGAGCAGATGCTTCTCTTAACTGGGAGCATATAAGAAAAAAAGCCTTTGGGGAGAAAAGGCACCACCAACACCGTCTGAACAGGAGTACATATCTATAAATTCTCAAAGGTTCAGATGAGAAGAACAGTCCTGGGAGCTACTAGGGATTGCGCTGAAACATTTTGACAGAAGACATTTGTCCAAGGAGTCATGGAGCTGGGGAAAGAGAGCGCTCAGCAGATAAGGCAAGTGCTGCTTTTCTTTGTTTTCCTGGGAAGGTCCTCGGTTTGTTCTGAGATTTGGAGTTATTCGGTTGCAGAGGAAACTGAGATCGGCTCTTTTGTAGGCAATGTGATTAAAGATATGGGTTCTGGTGTGGAAAACCTGGCTGTGAGAGGTGCCAGGGTCATCTTTGATGACTATAAACCTTACTTGGGTTTGGATCTGCAGACTGGCAACTTGCTCTTAAATGAACGACTGGACCGAGAGGCACTGTGTGATATCACTGAACCCTGCATACTGCATTTCCAGGTGTTATTCGAAAATCCTTTGCAATTTTTCCAAGCTGAGCTTTTGGTTAAAGATATAAATGACCACACTCCTGTGTTCCTAGAAAAACAAATACTTTTAAAAATCTCAGAAGGTACTACTCCAGGAACCTCATTCCAAATGGACAGTGCTCAGGACTTAGATATAGGAAATAATAGTGTTCAAAATTACACAATAAGCCCCAACCCTCATTTTCACCTTAAATTACAAGACAGCGCTGAAGGTAGAAAATACCCAGAGTTGGTACTGATCCAACCTCTAGACAGAGAAAAGGAACCTGAGGTTAGCTTAACGCTAACAGCCGTAGATGGAGGATCAACGCCAAGATCTGGGACTGTGCTGATTAGAGTAGTGGTCATGGATATTAATGACAATGCCCCTGAGTTTGAGAGACCGGTCTATGAGGTTCAAATACCCGAGAACAGCCCTGTGGGCTCCATGGTAATCAAGGTATCTGCTACAGATTCAGATGTAGGAACAAACGGAGAACTCTCTTACTCATTCTCTCATCCCTCTAGAGATGGACTGAAAACATTTGAAATCCATCCAGTTTCTGGAGAAATCCATTTGAAAGGAGTTCTGGATTTTGAGATAATTCGGTCTTACACAATAAACATTCAGGCCATAGATGGTGGGGGTCTTTCTGGGAAATCAGTTATTACTGTTCAGGTTTTAGACGTGAATGACAACCCACCAGAAATAGTCATTACGTCACTTACCACCCTCATACCAGAAAATTTTTCACCTGAGATGGTAGTCGCTGTTTTCAGTTTACGAGACCAAGATGCTGGAGACAATGGAAAGATGATTTGCTCAATTACAGACAACCTCCCCTTTCTCTTAAAACCCACCTTCAAAAATTTCTACACCCTGGTAACAGAACGTCCACTGGATAGAGAGATAAAAGATGAATACAACATCACCATCACCGTCTCCGACTTGGGGACTCCCAGGCTGCAAACCCAGCACACCATCACCCTGCAGGTGTCCGACGTGAACGACAACGCCCCCGAATTCACGCAGTCGTCCTACACCCTGTGGGTCCGCGAGAACAACAGCCCCGCCCTGCACATTGGCACCATCAGCGCCACAGACAGAGACTCGGGCAGCAACGCCCAGCTGACCTACTCGCTGCTGCCCGGCCCGCAGCCCGGCGCCGACGCGGCGGCGGCGCTGGTGTCCATCAACGCGGACAGCGGGCAGCTGTTCGCCCTGAGGGCGCTGGACTATGAGGCCCTGCAGGCGTTCGAGGTGCGCGTGCGCGCCGCCGACCGCGGCTCGCCCCCGCTCAGCAGCCAGGCGCTGGTGCGCGTGCAGGTGCTGGACGCCAACGACAACTCGCCCTTCGTGCTGTACCCGCTGCAGAACGCGTCTGCGCCCTGCACCGAGCTGCTGCCCAGGGCGGCCGAGCCGGGCTACCTGGTGAGCAAGGTGGTGGCGGTGGACCGCGACTCGGGCCAGAACGCCTGGCTGTCGTTCCAGCTGCTCAAGGCCACGGAGCCCGGGCTGTTCAGCGTGTGGCCGCACAATGGCGAGGTGCGCACCGCCAGGCTGCTGAGCGAGCGCGACGCGCCCAAGCACAGGCTGCTGCTGCTGGTCAAGGACAATGGCGAGCCGCCGCGCTCGGCCAGCGTCACGCTGCACGTGCTGCTGGTGGATGGCTTCTCGCAGCCCTACCTGCCGCTGCCCGACGCGGCGGCGCCCGAGCGCCGACCGCCTCACTGCCTACTTGGTCATCGCGCTGGCGGCCGTGTCTTCTCTCTTCCTCTTGTCTCTGCTGCTCTTCGTGGCCGTCAGGCTGTGCAGGAGGAGCAGGGCGCGCTCGCTGGCCGGCTGCGCGCTGCCCGATGGCCCCTTGCCTGGACACCTGCTGGACGTGAGTGGCACGGGGACCCTGTCTCAGTTTTACCAGTATGAAGTTGGTCTCAAAGGAGACTCTGGGAGTAACGAGTTTAAGTTCCTGAAGTCTGTTATTCTGAACCATCGTGGAGCTTTGAATGGGGTAGAAGAAAATCCACCTATGTAAATGGTCTTGTGTAGAATTAGCAACGGGTTCTTTTTTCATGTCGTAGAGGTCAAAGATGTGTTCTTTCTAAATATACTGTGTTTCCATTATACTCTTGTTTTATAAGAATTTTTAATATTCGCCATTATTTTCCTGGTTGAGTCTAGAAAATTTCCTTGAGTATATGCCTATAGTGTCTCTCTCTCTCTTTTTGTCAGTAGTGGGTAGTGGGCCTTGAACTCTGGGCCTGGTCGCTGTCCCTCACCTCTTCAGCTCAAGGCTAGTGCTCTACCACTTGAGCCACAGCGCCCCCTCCCCACCCCCAGTTTTCTGGTGGTTTATTGGAGATCAGCCTCTTGGACTTTCCTGCCTGGGATGGCTTTGAACCACCATCCTCAGATCTCAGCCTCCTGAGTAGCTAGGATTACAGGCATGAGCCACCAGCACCCAGCTTGCCAATAGTCTCTTTTAAAAAAATCATTTCTATTGGAAGGAGATAAAACTTCGTTATTTATTGCTGAAAAGTCACAAATATTTGTTTCATTTATGATCTTCCCAGCATAATCGAGAATATAACCTCACTCTTATTTTCTCTTTGTTGCCCAGAAATTCTTTTCTCAACTTTCAATATTTTGAAGACAAGTATAATTCAAAAATATATTCTGCTTATTCTGACATGCTTCCTTTTCTGGACTATTTAAATGGAGAAATACATGCAAAACCATGGTTTTGTTTTATAGTAGTCTTAAATGGGAAATATTACCACTTCTCCCAAAGTTAAAACTTTCACATATGTCATATAACCTTTAGTATACAATAGGTGTGTACTGCTAAAAAAAACTTTTCACTTATCTCAACAATGATAAAATTTAGACTTTTCTGTGATTTGTTTAGCCCACTCCATTTTTTCTTAAAAAAACTCTCTTCAAAAGGGATGTATTATTGTAGTTGTATTCATTTTATATGATTCAGCTTCATGGTTTCAGAAAATTGGAACTGATAGTAGATGTTACTAAACCTAGTGGGGTTAATCTGATCTTGTGCCAATCAGATGTTTTAGTTTTTACAAAATGACTATAGAACATGATATAATGTAGTATCTATTAGAACATTAACAAATGCTGGGTGATTGTAGCTCAAGCCTAGCTATTTAGGAGGCTGAGATCTGAGTATTGTGATTTGAAGTTAGCCTGTCAAAGTCTGTGAGACATTCATCTCCTGTTAACCACCAAAAAGCCAGAGTGGTGTTGTGGCTCAAGTAGTAGAGCACGAGCTTTACACAAAAAAACTCAGAGCAGACCCCAGCCCTGAGTTCTAGGGCCAGTATTGCCACCAAAAAAAAGTAAGTTAACCAGAAATTAGTGTCATTGACTAGATACATGGACAAATGCTCAAAAAGTCCACTGAGAGACAAAAAGGTTAGAGAGCTCAACTTGTAACCTTGCTGCAGGCTTTCCTGCCATAGATGTTCAAGATCATCTCAAATCAGCTTTCTTACCTGGATTTCTGGGAACTAATACCTATTCTTTTAATTTCTCTGAGCTAACTGAAGGGTTTCCTTGTTAAAAATCACAGTTAGAGATTGTTGCATGCACTGGTAAATTAGAGTTACCATTAGAGTTTTTCTCATAGTTTTCATGTTGATATAATGCTTTGCACTGTATGATGTACTCTTTTGTGAGGTTTATACCCTATTAGTAGTGCTTACAAACTTTCATTAAATTATGCATTTTTGAAAGCCAGGTTGGTGGTACATGCCTGTATTTCTTTCATTCAGGAGGCAAAAGGCTCTTGGAGTCTGAAGTCTATCTGGGCTTTATAGTGAGACCTCAAAAAAGGTATAACTTTGAGAGGAATTAAAGATGTTCCCAGTGTTAACAGCTTTCAGAGTAGTTAGTAGAAATTTTTAGAAAATTCTTCACCTAGGGATTAAGGATATAGCTCATTGGTAGAACACTTGCCTAACACAGTAGAAGCCCTGAATTTATTCCCAGTACCATGAAAGAAAGAAAAGAAGTGTAATAGAGGGGGTGAGATTCATTAGATCACAGGGTAAACCTTTGAGGAGAAGTAATAATGTAAAGCCCCCTGCTGTGTAACTAATATTAGTCAATAAAATAAAAATGAAAAAGTTAAATAAACAAAGGAAATAGGAAAGAAGGGAGGGAGGAAATTCTGCTAACAAGAAAGGACATTTGAATAACATTGTCAATAGAGGCATTGGTGTGAAATAACATTAATATTGTAAAATGTATTCCTAATAAAGATGTATATCATATTTGTACAGTAAGACCTTTTTGTCATATTGTTCCTTTTTTAAAAAAAATGTATGTATCTCTATTGTTGAAAGTGGCTAAATTATTGAATGAAAAAAACATTTTGAAGTTGAGCATCAGTTGCTCCCCCCTTTAATCCTAGCTATTCAGGAGGTTGAGATATAGAGGATTTTTATTCAAAGCCAGCAAAAGCAGAAGAGGTCCATAAGACTCCATGACCAAAATGACCAGAAAAAAAGCAGAGCTCTACCACTACCTCTCAAGTGGTAGAGTACCAGCCAAGCAAGCTGAAAGAGCATAAAGTTCTCTTGTACCTAAAAAATCCATCTTATATCATTCTAAGTTATTTCAAATACTATTCAAGAGCATAGCAAACATCTACTTGCAAACATGTTGTCTAATTTATTCAACTTATATAATTAACTTACATCAGGGTTAAAGAATGTGCATATAGGGGCTAGGGATTTAGTTCCATAAAAAAGTGTTTGCTTAGCAATCCCAAGGCCCTGCATTTGGTTTCCCAACACTAGGAATGAAAAGGAAGCATCTATGGTAGAGAAAGATACACCTGAATGTTTGCATTAATTGTGATTTTATCCACTGATCCATTCAACAAACATGTATTTAGCATTTACTCTGTGCCAAGGTTATTTTAGCTGGGGATGAAGCACTAAACTAAGCATTTTAGCACTTACAGGTGACACAAAAGAAATAAAAATGTATATTTTGCTATGTCAGATAATACATGCTATGGTGTGTGTGGGGGGAACAGGATAAAAAATACCAGTCTCTTCATCTGCATTTTGCCATCGTTGAAAAAGTTCATAAAATTATAATTCTGTGACATTATGTGAAATTCTATCATAATCTAGAATTAACCTTGTTAGAATTATCCTCACCTTTGGTCCTCAGCTCCACCTAGACCTGAGCTCTTCCCTGCCCTACAGTACAGGCCAAACAGCTGTCCGCTCCCTCTTTCCTGCCCAGACCTACCCTGCAGGCACTTACCTTACTTCCACCCTTACTTCCTCCCCTGCCTCACACCTACCTGTCACCTGGATGGGGTAGATGCCATGTGCTCCCCATCTCAGGGAGCTATGGCCCCTCTAATACACCTTATAATAATCTTTCTCCTGTGCCTGTCTGCCTTTGCTGTGGTCCCCTGGGATGGTTGTGAAGGATTCTTACAAACCGGTAGCTTTTCCCATGATGTATTTCAACCACAATAGGGACCACAATTCTGGTGAATAGTTGCATAAACTTTGAAATAAAATCTAGAGGAATTAATCTTTTTGCTGAATTTTAATTAATCAGGGGCTATGTGTTATTAATTTTACAAGATGTTTGATCATTATTATGTCTTCTTTCGTTTCTCAGTTTCCCTCAGGATACCCCCAACCCAGAATACAGGCTCCAGAAGATAGGGGGAATGCCTGAGTTGTTTGCTCAATTATTTTCCCAATCCTAACACATAGCGAATAATCTTTGAATGAAGGAATAAAACTGCATGATTTCATGATTACAACCATCTTCAAGCTTTTATGGGAAAAGTGTAGTAAAACCTTAAGAGGCTAAAACAACACAAGCTAAGCCTTCAAAGAGAAAATGCCAGGAACTCTACTTCAGCATTCCGGAGCAAAAGAAAAGCAGAAGTCAGAGCCCAAAGCCCGTTCTGCTTCTTATCTACACTTCTAAAGAGGTTATTAATGATATAAGTGTAATCAAAGATCGCTCTCTGCCTCGGTTTCCTGTCTCTGTAAGGTACCGCTTGCCCCGGTCCCTGGGAAGGTGTGAGGAGAAGCAAAGATGGACAGCGGATGGGAGTTCAAACAAAGGCAAGTCCTGACCACCTTTCTCTTACTGGGCGTGGTTCAGGCAGGCTGGGAACCCCCGCCGCTATTTTGTAATGAGGAAATAGAGTGGTTCCTTTGTGGCAGACCTGGCTAAGGACCTAGGGCTGGGGAGTCGGGGAAGTAGCTACCCGGGGAGCTCAGGTTAGGTAGCCTCTGAGGATAAGGAACCAGGCTTGCAGCTTGATCTGCAGACTGTAAACTTGATTTTAAATGAGAAACTCGACCGAGAGGAGCTGACCCCACGGAGCCCTCTGTAATGCCTTTCCAAGTGTTACTGCAAAGGCCATTGGAAGGATTTCGGGCTGAGTTCCTGGTGGGAGACATAAACGATCATTCTCCTGAGTTTTCTGAAAGAGAAATGACCCTGAAAAGACTAAAGACTAGCTCTCCCGGTACTGTGTTTCCTCTGAAAAGAGCTCAGGACTTGGATGCGGGCAACAACAATGTTAAAAACTATACTATTGGTCCCAATTTGTATTTCCGTGTTTCCACCAAAACCCGCGGGGATGGCAGGAAATACCCAGAGCTTGTGCTGGATCAGGAACTGGATCGCAGGGAGCTGGCTGAGTTCAGATTAGCCCTGACAGCATTAGATGGTGGCTTTCCAACCCGTTCCTGCACTACCCTGATTCGTGTCCTGGTCTTGGATGTCAATGATAATGCCCCGGAATTTGCTCAGGAGCTTTATGACGTATAAATCCCAGAAATCAGTCCTTTAGATGCAAGGGTGTCCGCTAGGGATTTAGATTCTGGAACAAATGGAGAGATATCATACTCTATTTTTTATAGTTCTCTGGAGATAGGTAAAACTTTTGAGCTAAGCAGCTTTTCAGGAGAAGTCCTACTAAGAAAAGAATTAGATTTTGAGACAAGATCCTCCTAAGAGCTAGAT